TATACATTTGTACTCATGTATCCATTTTACTTACATCTCCATTCATTAGTTTGCAGTCATCATCAATCTCATCAGCACTGTCCTCATCAGACACTTCCCCTTCCTCTGCATCATCACTAATGGTGGCTGGAAGTTTCTTGCCCTGGAAAACAAAAGGATTAGACAGGCAGGTCAACATGCATCTCTTGGTACAATGAAAGGAAAATGATAATGTGTAACTGGAGACATGAGAAGGGCTGGGAGTCCAGACAGGTTTTCTGGGGTCTGTGGAGTCCATATATCATGGGTTCAATTAAGTTTACTTAAGGTTGTCAAGTGACCCACTCAAGAACAAGAAAGGACTCTCCTTTAGTCCATATTGTAGGGAAGAAAGCATTTCACCTCCTTGGTCCTTTTGCTATAATTCTTGCCTTGGGTAATCCCAAGGTGGACTGAACTAATGCAAGAAACCTAGTCAGGAAGGAAATGGTTACGAGGAGAGCTGCTGCTAGGGGCCAGATTTTCAGAAGAGTTCAGTGTCCAACCACTCCAGAGGTTCTCAATGGGAGCTCATGCACGGTGAGCAGTTCTCAAGGTCTGGCCGTGGAATCTCAGACCAAAAAGGGGACAGAATCCTTCATTGGTGAGTGGACATGGCTTGGAAAAGCCTAGCTTCCTTCTCACATTACATATACACCTAGAAAAAGGGTACTGCCCATCTATCCTGCCCGCCCAAAGGAGATACCTTCCCTTCCATTGCTGCCCATCTCCCTCTCTTTCCTCCAAACCTAGCTGCTACTGTCCCTCATAGTAGCTGCAATGAACCACCTCAAGCCAGAGTGAGGACTCCAGATTTCATAGTATTCTTCTATGTGTGCCCCAACTCACAGAGCAAAGGGTGGCAGAGGGGAATGAGCCTGAATTACAGCTTCAGGCAGTGACCTGGACAGATGTTTGAAAGTCTGAAAGTGACTTGGAGCTTTTTCCAAGAACGGGTAGAATCCTGGAACCTTTCAGAGCCTTCTGGACTAAGAGCCATCACTGCTGCTGAAGGGCAGGATTTAATGGGGGCTTAAATCTCCTCGACGGATGCGATCACCATTTGCAGTAGCTGAAATTGCAGCAAAAGGAAAAACAGGAGCTGGTGATATTATTTAAACAGCTGAGTCTCCAGCTGCCCTGTCCATTCAGTCCACACAGGAAAGAGATTTAATTTCATCCGAAAGGGCAGTCACTGATATTTGCCAGCACAAAAAGCAAACTCAGCATGTACAATTAAACCAATTAATCAGTACAGCCCCAGCAGAAACTCTTTGACCTCGTAAGAAAATATTCACACCACCAGAAACACAGAGTGTGCCAGCCCAGGGCCCCAGCATTTCTGACTCTACCAGAATAGCAGCATAGGTAAAGTAATTCATATTGAAACTGTGGACATTTAACAGGTAAGTAATATCAGCTGAAGTGCGATTATTCCTGAAGACAGGTATTTATAGCCTTGCTGAATCAGAGCAGGGCAAGCAGCATTCATTTCTGGATCAGTTTGAGGTGAAGGCTTGGTTTGAGACCATCATGCCACTCTACGACAGTCCACCCCTGCATTTGTCTCATGAGAGTCCTTGCACTTCTTTGGTATGGGGTAGGTCAGAAATGCCACAAGGAAATCTTTTTAGGGCATTTCCACTTGGGTATGAAACTTGAAGTGAGAAGGAGGTGAAGAATACAGGGGATAGAGAAATAGAACCATGGAAACAGGTTGCCCCATGTTTTTTTCAAACCTCAAAGACTGGCACAAGTTTTGAGTGGTCTCTTAATTGATCTAAGCCAGGTGGCCATCCCAACTCAGAGAGTAGCTGATTGGAGCCTAGCTCATCTCAGTCCCAGGGCACTCACCACAATATTTGCACTCACCAGTGTCTCTCTCTGCTTTATTCTGTGTTATATTAGGCCTGGTCTACACTTAAAAATTAGATTGACCTACCTATGTTGCTCAGAGCTATGAAAAAATATCATGCCCTGAGATCTGCAGTTAGGTTGACCTAACCCCTTGTGTAGACGTGGCTAGATTGATGAAAGAATTCTTCTGTTGACCTAGCTACTGCCTCTCAGAGAGGTGGACTTCCTACATCAATGGAAAAACCTCTTCCATTGGTGTAGGATGCGTCTACACTATGGCGCTACAGCAGCACAATTATGCCGCCGTAACATACCCTTAATCCCATTTGTTCTGGTTTCATTCCATCTCTAAAAACATCCTTGACATTTCCAGTGGCCCTTTGGATAGATTAGCCTCTAATAAATTAAAAGCAGCTGAAAGTTATTTCTTGTTAGCAGGTGCTTAGGAGATGACAAGATTTGAAGAACTTGTGCTAAGTGTCTAATGGACTCCAATAGTCTTGAGATTCACCTATTGCATCTGTTAGGGAGATGCCAGTGTCCTGTGCACCAGAAATGAAACCCAGACCTACGCAGGTTAAAAGAAACAAAGAAAACCCCCATCTTTGAACCATGGAACCGGTTCAAGAATATGGCAGGCAACGCAAGTAAAGCACAGGGCACAGAGAGGTTTTAGTTAACTAACAAACAGCTGTAAAGTTATTTGGATTCCCAGGATAAAAGAGGTGCTAAAAACCCATTATTATTCTGGACTGGAGAGAAGGAGAAAGGCTCGCAGAATGGAGTGAGGAAGGCTGCATGACTGCATTAATATTTAAACCTCCACAAACAAAAGTGATTTTGTTTTTAGTGTTTGGGGCCTGCACGCAGCACCATGTAAAATGAACCTCCCTCATGAGCTACACTGGAAACCTACCATCAAACGTTCAGAGTAGGGTAAAGAAAAATCATTTTTATTTCAACCCTTACATTGCTATGTTTGACTTACCACCTCGTAAATCTAAGAACATACATGGACTTCAGGAGACTTTGTTTTTATACATTTCGTTTTTCCAATAAAAGGTGCAGAATGGCTGTTTGGATGCACAACTGGAATCGACTGCCAGTCATGGCTAGCATCCTACTGTGCCTCTGCCCTGTTACGTGCACAACACGTAGATAACAGGAACCCAATCGGGAATGAAGAGACAAGTTAGCCAAGCACAGAGGTGAAAAAAATATACAGTTGATTCAAGACTGGCCCTGCCTCCCAAGGCAAATTTTACAGGCTACATCACACATGACATTAGCTCTTGATTGATGCTGGAAGGATTCCACAGAGATGTTGAATTTAGCTGCAGTCAATGAGTTATGTATCTAGACAGGTAAAACCGACTTTAAGCAGCGACTATTTCTAGTGCCTTAAGGAAGAGTCAGATGGAACAGCCCTGGCTTTGAAAAGAACTAGGGACCAAATACAAACACTCCTTTCAACCAGGCAATGGATGCTGCTTTGCACATCTTCATCCAGCTGCATAGGTAAGCGCTATATCCATGCACGAGCGGCGAAGGAGTCCTAGTTTGGGGAGTGGTTGGCCTAGGTGCCTCAGTGGGTGAGAGAGAGAACCAGGAGCTGACCCCAGAGCTCTTCTCTGGCTCTAACATTGCTTAGACCACAAACCTTCCCTTCAATGAAGCCTTCGGTCTGAAATTGCCTCCATACAACACATTTGTGCAAGGCAACAGCTGTGGGCAGTAAGTCACAAGGGGCAACTATCAGCTTTACACTGTACGATTTACCACCTTAGATTCTGTTTCAGAAGTGGCGTCAGAGGTGGTCACAATCACCCCCTTCACAGATTCCCCCTCTTCTGCATCCCACCCCTCACACATAGGCCATCCTTAACAGATCAGATCTGTTTTCATGGGGGAGGGCTAAAGCACTCAGAGCCCTCTTCAGCAAGAGAAAACACACCCCTTCTCTCACACACAAGTTCCTCTGAGGGGCACCCAGGTACTCCTTAAGCTACCGTGAGCAAAGGACAGAACTTTGACCCTGGTGTTCCAATGAAGCCACGAGACCTGCCAAATTAGCACCGTTCCCTTTCATCTGGACTGTAAGAAAGCACATACAATAGACCTAAAAGTTTAAGACATTTCCAAAATGAGCCAGAACAGCTTTGGAGGTAAGGAAAACTGTTTACATGGAAAACACCTCACTGAAAGTTTCACGTCAGTGCGTGCATTACTGAGCCAATAGATAACACAGGCTCCCCTGAAACAGCTACACTTCTTTATATTTAACAGGTTCTGGACTGGAAAGATTAGAGAACAGCTCTTATATTACGTCAACCTGAGGGCCGTTCATGCCAGTTAGGAACACATCCCTCTCAATGGATCATTAGCATTAAAAGCACTTACGTGCTCCGCCCTCAAGGAAGCAGAAAAGACATCAGCCAGAGTCTTGGTGCAAGAAAATACACTTACAAACAATTTGTTAAAATAATTTACAGCATGTGCAGGTGCAGTGAACCAGGATTCTAAATCCTATAACCCTGTCATCTCTTATTTATTTCCCCCGCAACAAAAGATACCCAGAGGCACCAGAGTCAACATCACAAACTAACGGCCCGATAAATGTTAGCTCGTATAAAACACAAACACGCACATACAGGTGACATCTTCCAATTCACAGAAGAGCAACTTAATATCTAAGTGAGAAACCGCGATGTTTTGTGCAAATGTAAAATGAATACAGAAAGCATCAAGCCCACAGTGAGAGCCAGTCAGACATATTTACCTTCATTTGGGTTAAAAACAGAACCTCCTAGTTGAGTTGAGTGAACGATGCTCTGATCGCCACCCTACCATAGCAAAGGCAGCAGGGGGTGCAAGGACAGAACAACAGACACTCAATTGCTCACTGATATAAGGTGATGGGGAGGGTGCAAAGGGATGGCATGACAAGCACATTCAAGTCCTTGTTCCTACCGTCCCCACTAGCTGTGTTTCATCTGGGTCAACACCTGGGTTTTTACAAGCCTTAGATGTGAGAAAAGCTGTATCATGTATTAGGAGTAGAGCTGGTTGAACTTTTCCAAATTGGAATTTTCTGCTGACATTTTTTGGTTGAAATTTCAGTTTTCAAAACTAAAAAAAATAATTCAACAAATTTTTAAGCAATGCCTGGCTGTCGGTGCTATGTCAGGGGAAGTTCTCTTAAGCCAGATCTACAGTTTAAAAAAAACAAACAGATTGCTCTTCAGCCCCACTTGAGATGGTGTGATGGATATTTTTCCACACCCTTTGTACAGTTGGCAGGTCCTTCCCACACAGCCTGTTTGCAAAAATGCTGTCGGTTCAACTGCAGCTGAGAGCTATTTTCAAAGTGCACTCCAAAGACAGTGCCCATGGAGCTTCCCTAGGCACAGCCATAAGAAATGGCAGCTTTGAGTCTCTCCGCAGTCATCTGGTAGTAAATCAGTTCCAGTTATGGACACAGCCATCGTCTGACGGTGAGTCTAATATCACAACCTCTTGGGACATCTGTGCCCATTTTCAGCCCTTCCCAGTGCTAGGTGCTGAGCTTCTCCCACAATCCAAACCCAAGAGTGTGGCTCAGAATCCAAAACCAGACCTCAGTGTGAATAATGGCTGCTCGTTCTAGAGAGAGGAACCAAAATCCCAGGTGGAATTTTGAGCGATTTGAAATCTGGATCCAAGTTCTGTGACTTGAGAGGACCTCTAATGAGCTGATTCAAGTGAAGCTGCAAGGGGTTCATAGCCCAAAAAGAGCTTAAAACCATCAAATAAGAGGGCTAGAGAGCAAATACAAGCAGGTCGTTTACCTTCACTAATATCTTTCCTTTAAGACTTTCTGGGGAAGGGAGTTTGGTGGAATCCTCATTGCGCACTGCAGACAGGTCCAGCTTGTCCCCTAGGATTTCGATAAGATACTGAGCCATCTTCTTCTGCTGGAGAACGCTGCAGTGGTTCTCAATGGATAAAACAACAGGATACCTGGAAAAGAAACAACCAGGAAATATCATCTGCAGAGTCAGCTTTTTACAGAGCTGATGGAGAAAGAACCATTTGAATCCAACCAATTCAGCAGCTCAGTCTGACTAGGGACAGTTACTGATACTCTCATGGGTTTGACTCAGCCAACCAGGGCACAGGGTAGTGTCCTGTTACAGACCCAAAACTAATTGCAACCTCTCGGCATATCTTGGTTTTCATGTCTGGGGATAACGTTTGCTTATGTGCATCTCACAAAGCAGTTCGCTGGAGATTGTTCCTGGATTTGAGAGAATAAAAGCACTATAGAAAGTGTTACGTTTAAAAGTCACGCATCTAGAGATTTTCATCCATAAATCTACAGATGCTTCTACTAAGGAAAGTCAGCATCATTATCCTGTATTGGGAAACTGAGGCAGTGAGTGGTAAAGTGACTTGCCCAAGCTTTTCTAAATGCTAGGCCAGCATCCTATTGATTTGACCACACTACTAATCATCATACACTTTGGTACAAAGTCATTTTTACTTGTTTTTTTAGGTTTGCAACAAACAATTTCATTTCATTTTTTTTTAAAATTATTTTCAGACATATTTTACACAAAGCGGGCAGAGCCTCTCATTCCTGCCCCCATAGGATTGTTCTATTACAGTGGTTCCCAAACTGGGGTTCGTGAACCCTGGGGGGTTTGCGAAATGTTACAGGGGGTTCTCAGGAAAAAATTCCCTAATGGTGGACAGAGCTGTCCCTAGGGACCCCGGGCAGCACGGGGCCAGCAGCACGGAGCCCCTGGACCTCCAAGAGCTAAGCAGATCAAAGCAAGCATATCTATCACACTGAGGAATTTAAACTTCAAGACTCCTTATAAGAAATGGAAAGGGAGGTGATATTTTTTGCTGTTTTTAAAATTAAATAGGCTGCTAGTATTGTTTTTAAAATTATTATGAAGAACAAGTTTAAGATTTGTTGTAACGTGCGTTGTTTGCCTGGACTGCTCAAGACCTGAATGCTTGTGTAGGAGGAACTCCGAGTTGGCTTTCTAAATACCTTCATGATGTTTCACATCTGATACTCCTTGATGAAACACAGGAGCCTTGTCTTATAACAGCCTTATTCAAAGTGATACAAGCTACGAAAGTGAGCTTGGAAGAGTACTGCTATTTTCATAATGTAATAAAAATACTGTAATGGTATATAATAATTAATACTAAATAGTGTGTAATAAGCATGTCATAAAAACAAATTTTATATTTCCAAGATCACGGCTTTTATAATTTATACTCAGGTAAAGGAGAAAATCCCTGGAAATATTCATTTTTAGGAGGAGATTCGCAAGACGACATTTTAGTGAAAGGGGTTCACAGGTTGTTAAAGTTTGGGAACCACTATTCTATTAAAATGCTTACCATTCGTCTGGTCTCTAACAGCCTCACCTTACTCAGAGCATATTTCATTGTCTAACAATTGTGTAATAGCTACAGGAATCATAAGTAGCTTGTTGACAAATACACAGGCAAATCCTAATGGTGCCTCATACTATTCATGATCACGGCAGAGCTCCAGGCCCATTTAAAAAAAACAGATATGAATCGCTCTTCCGAAGACAAGACATTCAGAGGTGATAAACAGTGAGATGGAAAGTCCCATAAAAAATTATGGCAGCTCAATAAATGCAGTATGAAATACCACCCAATTTATCCAGCACAGACATTCACAGGTCTTATAATCAGCCACCTCACTATATAAATGGAAAGTGGGCAAACCAGAGCCATCAGACAATATTTATATGACACCATTCATTTGGACGTTCTTGGGGATGCATGCTTCTGCTAACAAATCAGTGATCCTTGGATCAGTTTAAGTCAGTGAGAGCGTTTCTATGGACTTCAATGAGCTTTGGACCACGTCTAGAGTTCTCCCGTTTTTTTCCAAACTGGAAAACACAGACAGGTTTAGGATTTGGAAAGATTAATTCCAGACTGCTCCCAAGGGTAACACTGCACCCAAACGGGAACAGCATCAAAGCTATGTGGACCACCTACAACAGCACATTGTTACTCGGAGAGCAGGACCCAGTTTGAAGCGAAGCTCTAGATTATTGTTAAGTAAAGACCACCGAAAAGAAACACACACACACACACACACACACAGCTGGAACTACTGCCAAAACAAGTTCATTATCAAGGTCTAACAACCTAGACAGCATCCCGTAAAGGGCACACCTTGGAAGCCAATCAATTTCCAGCATTATTTTTCATTTTCAGCATCTATTTTGGGGTCCTTCTGGCTGAAGGCTGGGAAATCACATCGCACTCCTTAGAACTCGTCAATGAGGATTCATAGAATTTTGAAACCAAGGTGATCGGCACTAGATATAAACCAAAGCCAGATGGATCCCTGTTTAGCTTACAGGTGACACGATTCTGGGACAAGTGCAGAATCCAACACACAAAGGGATTATTTTTTTTAAAGTGTGATTTCTAACACAGATGGTGGGATACAAGTGTCTGCTCTGTCAAGCCCCTCAAAGCCCTGCATTAGAAGGAGAAATTACATTTTGACTTGGACAAAAAACACACAGGAGAAACCTCCAGACCGGTAGCTAATTTGAGCTCAACGCTTTTGCCAAAAGCTTGCTTCTTAGTTTGATTTTGCACCAGTCTGTACTGTCCTAGGAGATTTGCACTGGGGAGGAAAAGACCCATAAGTCCCAATGCCTTTGCTTTTCTCTCGTAAGCCAACTGTTGGTCCTTACTAAGAAATAAATAAATGAATAATTAATGGTAACAATGTCACAGTTACCCCCCAAAGAGGCGTCTTTCCTTAATGGCACTAGGAGTTACCAGCATTTTAAAGGCATTTTGGAAGGTAACTTTCTTGCCTTCTGTTCTTGTGTGTCCCAAAACCCTCTTGCAAACAGCTGGGATTTTTCAAGTCACCAGCGTGTACAGTAAGGTTGCTTTGGCTGAGATGTCAGAACAGCTTAGCTCTATTAAGGATGGCTGACTGGCTTCAGGGCACACGTAGGGACCTGAACCAATGCTCAATGAAGTCAATGGGAGATTTCCAATTGACCTCAGTGAGCTCTGGATCAGATTATCAGACCCTTAAAATCCCTAGCAGATCTGGCCAGCACATGTTTGACAAAACTTCATTTAGACAAAGCCAAAACGTTTTGGAGCGCCGTCTGTTTTGACAGGAAGGTTTTTGGGAGGGAGGGAAGAAAGCCAAAGAGAGTCTCTCATACTTTAGGCTAGGTCTACACTGGGGGTGGGGGTGGGTGTCGACCAAAGATACGCAACTTCAGCTACGGGAATAGCGTAGCTGAAGTCAGCGTATCTTAGGTCGATTTACCTAAGATACGCTGAGGTCGGCAGCAAGTCGACCACTGCCGCTCCCCCGTCGACTCCGCTTCCACCTCTCGCCGTGGTGGAGTTCCAGAGTTGATGGCAGAGCGATTGGGGATCGATTTTATCGCGTCTACTCTAGACGCGATAAATTGATCCCCGATAGATCGATCGCTACCTGCCAATCCGGCCAGTAGTGTAGACTTACCCTTAGCCTAGTGGTTTGGGCACTGGCCTGGGAGGTTGGAGACCCCAGTTCAACTCTCCCTGCTCACTCTGAATCAGATAGATGCAGGACGCAAAACTCTACTCGGAATCAGGTAGAGCAAGGACTTAAACCAGGTTTCTCACATCCCAGGCCTAACCCCCACATGACAGAGAGACACCAGCACACAAAACTGCCTTCCCGAATCAAAACGCTTGGGCTCTGATCAGAAAATGGACATTTTGACACTATTCCATTTTGCAGACACGTTAGAAAGGTCTGGCTTCCCTTCCAGCGCGGAAGGAAAACAAGTTTTGAAACCTCCAAAAACTGCTGCCAAATGGAATCAGCACCCACGGGCCTGCTCTAAAAAGTACCAAGTAAGGGCTAGTATCAGCAGGAACCTCCTCCCCTAATGCTCTCTCCACTGAGGCACATCATGCCCTCCAGTGAAAAGACAGATCTATGGTTGGTGGTATATGGGACACGGCTGAAAACATCCGCTGCCTATAAGCTGAACACCATGAACAACGTCCTGGGCAGGAAACATGACACTGCACACATTGGCGCTTCTGCAGAGGGGTGCCACCTAAACCGGGATCCAGGACCACGCAGCCAGGGGATACCACAGGAGCTAGCAGCAGGCTGGGTACGTACTCATTCTTGATGAAGGCATATTTGTTGATGGTTTCAATCACGTCTTTGAAGAGTATCTTGGAGGTGAGGGTGTATCCATGGTGGACAATTGGCTCACCATCTGGCCCGTCCCAGCAGTCAACTGCAGAGGGAAAACAAAGGTCTCATTTATCTTTAGATTTTAGGATCATAGATTATAGCCCGGGGGTGGCCAAACCATGGCTCGCAAGCTGCATGCGTCTCTTTTACAGTTCAAGTGCGGCTCGCAGAGCCTCCCACACTCTCCCTGTTCTCCACTTACCAGATGGGGGGGGGGCGGTGGGGGAGTCCTGGGATCTCTCCCTTGCAGCAGGGTGGTGGGATAGGGCCTTCTGCCCAGCGAGGAGGGGAGTCTCAGGGCTTCAGCCCCACGCAGCACTCCTCCCAGGACTCAGGATTTCCGCAGGAGTGGGGCTGAAACCCTGAGCCTCAGAAGATGCACCCCAGCTCTTGAACCTCTGAAGATTGTTGTATGTGGCTCAGCAAGTTTGGCCACCCCGTTATAACAGATCATTCAGACAGACAGACTCAAGCCCATTAAAAAGAGAGCCAGAGATTTTCCTGGTACTGGGCGCATCTTGCCGAACAACATAACCACCCATTACAGTAGTGTCATCCTACCAGGAGTGACTTGGGGCCATGCTTCTGCAAAAGGTGCTGAGAACCTGCAACCCAGCCACAGCACCTGCCCCCACCGTCTCGCAGCTGAGTGCAGGCTTGCCTCCCCCCCCCCCGCCTCATGCGTGTCTCTCCCTATAGGTAACTGAGCGGTTTCCTCTGCAGGCACTTGCTTGCCATGAAATTCTGTTGTGAACAGATGACCCAGATCCCTTCAGTTGAGAAAGCCCCAAGCAAAAAAGATGTTCTTTTGTGAGAGTGTGGAGGAATATGTTCCTGGGGAAAGATATTAAAGCATAAAAATCCCATTCGGATTCAGCACTAGAATAGAGAATAGATTCTCAGCAGAGCTCCTCAGGGTAGCAGTAATGCCAAGATCTAAGCACCTCTGTCCCTCCTGTGAATTCTCCCTAGCCTTACACACACCTTCAGGCATACTTCCATGTGATGCTTCATTCCTGAGAATGTGTTACCACATCCACAGACCTCGACCTGAGCAGGCTGCCATATTTACTTCCTGGAGACTGACCCTCTATATAGTGGTCAAGACCTTGGAGACAGGGACAACATGGGTACTGCTACCTAGAGGATACTAAGCGAATAGACTCCACGATGGATTCCCCAACCACAAATTACAAACCCACTGCAAAGTGCAAGGGTTGTCACAACATTTTCATAGTGTGACGCCCTTTTCCGTACCTGGGACTCCCTCCCACTTAGCAACATGGCTGCAAATCCCTGGCTAGCATGTATGTGCACCAATGCCCTGTACGAGATGGAATCAGAACGGCTCAGCATACATCACAAGCCCTACGCAGCGAATGGAGAACTAGCCTAGATTAGCTTTGGGAAAAGAGCCTTCTTCCTTATAAGATGGATTCATAATTTTTTAGGAGTATAAACAACACTGACCTCAAGCTCTTCCTATTGCTGTGTCCTGGAAAGTGTACCAGCGAGGAGGCCACAAATACTGCTGTCATAGAAGCCCTGTTTTGCCATTGCTTATACAGGAAATGCACATTGTGCTAAACCTTTACCCCAACCCATTTACTTTGTTCTCATGATTCTTATCCTAAAAGACAAGACACACAAACTGCGGAGCCTCCTGATTACCTCACAGTTATTCCCTTCTGTCTTTACCTTCCACGCAGCGGCAGCCAGACTGCAGCACCCAGGCATACATGTCCACCCTAGACTGAGACATCAGCTGATCCCCCATGAGGTAGGTGTTATGGGAAGAGGTGATGAAGTAGTGGCTCAAAGGCTGGGTCATGTCCTGGTTCACCTGGTAGTGTTCTGGATTGAAGATGTCCCCCGACGGGCTCCGTGTGTAATTGGTGAAGCCTGTAGGAAAAACCGATAGGCCAGCATCAGTGTTTGTTGTTCTGTTTGAGAGCAGAATGTGAATCAGAGATTGCTCGGTATAAATTCTCCCTTATCTATATTCTTCCTCTTTCCCAGCACACACCAGTCTGACACAAACACCTCTGCACCCCATCTGCTGTGAAACAGTCTGAACACCAAATTCTCATGAGAGCAGTGGTGAGTTTTCCTTTTACAGGATGGAGGGTTTGGACTCTTTCCATGTCTAACAGGCTCATTGAGACTCAAGAAAAAGCAAGCAGAGAAACTGGGAGGCCAAGATCACCTACTTTCATGGTTCAAAAATCAGCAATCAGAGAGAAGCCACGGTCATACAGCTGCCAAAGTCCTATTGAATTATGCAGGCTAAACCTCGGCCACTGACCATTTTGGCAGCCTATCAGCTTCGGCTCCATGCAGACAACATTTCTACAGCCATCAGGCCAATGACCCCCAAATGGCAACACCAAGTGGTTCCAATCCCCTGACCTGGGGAAAAAACGGCCCCAGTTTAAGAGAACTCCTGGTTATGTTGGTACCTGAGATGATGGGAACTATAGAAGCAAGACCAAGATGCTCTGGTTCTTTTCCTACATGATGCCTTTCAGAAACCCTTACTTTCCTTTGCAAAGCGATAGCTCTCTGATGGGAATTACTGAGCATATGGGTCTGTGTAAACAACGAGACAAATGCACCCACTTGGAGAGCAATCATATCTGCATTTATAATGTGTAAATGAAAAGGTTATTCATGCTTTTCTGCTCCCTCTGTGTTTATTCCCAATGTCCACTGTTATTCTCGGAGGTCACCAGAGATGGTGCTGCGAAGCTGCTAACCCCAGAGGAAAGGAACTACACGGCAGACAGATTGTTAGGTAGAGTTGCTAGGCCTTTCTTCTCCTATAACCCTACTGAACAGGCTTTTTAAATGCTCCATTTTGAGGCCAAAAGCTTAGCAGGATGCAATAAAGGAATGAACATTTATACTGATAAGAAGAACATTCAGAGTTTCAAGAGCAATGATTTTAAGATACATTTTGGAAGGAATATAAACCTCTCTACTTCAGGGCATGAATCCTATTGGAGGTTAATGGGAAACCTTCTTCAAGGGCAGGTGAGCCCATAAGTACCAATGCAGGATTTCTTGCACCTTCTTTGGAGCATGTGGTGTGGGTCACAGTTGGAGCCAAGATACTACACGAGATAGACCCCTGATCCTCGGATCCATTTGATCCAGCCTGGCCGTACCTACGAATGTTGTTCGAATCCCACTGAGGAGAGTAAAACAACAGCTCAGAATATCCCTCTGCACTCCCAGAAGGGTAACACGTCGTTGCTCTTGCCGTCTTTCACATACCTAGAAATTGCCAAATTAGACCACACCCAAGGTCCATCTAGTTCAATATCCTGCTCCAGGTGTGGCCAGTACCAGATGTATCAGAAGAAGGTGCAAAGAACCCCTGCAGTACCATATGTGGGGTAAAATGTCCCGTACATTAGGTCTCATCCTGGTCTCTAATAATTAGAGATTGCCTTAAACCCTGAAGCAGGAGCTTCAATATCTCTTCCAAAAAAATGTTATGAATTAATTGGGATAACTCTGGCCAAGGGGATTAGAATCAGGATGGAGATCTTTCCTCCAAAAGGTAGCCAGTCCAGGTTAGGTGTTACTAACCTGATTCAGCTCAGTGTTACTATTAGACTTAGAATGTAAATTCTTCTGGGCAAATACAGTCTTTTTGTTACATGTTTGCACAGCACCTAGCACCATAGGGCCCTAGCATCTCAGTGCTAGAAAAATATAAGCAATACATCATAACAGCAACGATAGGATAGGTGGCCTATGTGACACAAAGTTAGCTGGGCAACAGAATTGAAAGCCGTGTGAAAGTAATCTGGTTTTATGTCACAGTATTAATTCAGACCAGGTTCATTAAGGCTTGTGTACTTTGGCCTACAGTTTCGCTCATCATTCATGACAGAGTGTATCCAGGTTCCATTTGGGAGACTAATCCTAATTCCTACCGAACAACTGGGTTATCTCCACGACTGACTTCCGACAATTAATGTCCTCTATGGACAGTATATGCCACAACTGACTCATGATCTCCAATACAGTAGCAGCCAGCTCTATGGAGATTTAATTAGACTAGAAAAGCTGACCCAAATGTCAGATTTGGAAGTGAAAGGCTGCAAGTCCGAGTTACAGAATTCCTAAGTATTTGCTATATTAAGAATCTGAAACTTATCTGGCACAGTCACAAATTCTAGCATTCCATCCAGGGCAGCGGATGCTTTCTCTCTGGCAAACTCACCATAAAGCTACAAACAGTTGATAATTGGTCTTAAATACAGGTCCAGACACAAGATACAAGTTCATAAGTCTTCCATCAGCCTGTCCTAATATTCCTTTTACTTTTCAGTTGCGGCTTCTGTATCTTTTCAGCTCTCTGATGCTGCTTGGTCTAGCTCAGGGGTCGGCAACCTTTCAGAAGTGCTGTGCCGAGTCTTCATTTATTCACTCTGATTTAAGGTTTCATATGCCAGTAATACATTTTAACGCTTTTAGAAGGTCTCTCTCTCTCTCTCTAAGTCTACAATATATAACTAAACTATTGTTGTATGTAAAGTAAATAAGGTTTTAAAAATGTTTAAGAAGCTTCATTTAAAATTAAATTAAAATGCAGAGCCCCCCGGACCGGTGGCCAGGACCCGGGCAGTGTGAGTGCCACTGAAAATCAGCTCAACATAGGTTGCCCACCCCTGGTCTAGCTATATCCTAATCTTCCCAACAGTGCTGCTGTTCGACTTTGTGTCTGTACTTGGACTGTGACAGATTTGTCAATTTTGTTGCTGTAACCTTTGGAGCAACCAGTCCTTAAACGCGTCTTTATGTTCACCTCGAAGGTCTGCGGTTTAAAAAAAAAAAACAACAGACCCCAGCATAGGCAGAACTCAAAACTGGCACACGGCTAGAGTCTGATAATTAGTTTTGGGGATGTATTGTTTAGAGTTTGTTTACTGCCTAGATTTGATGATTCAGGTTCATTTTATTAAACAGATGCTGGCCAAGGGTTGAGTAGATGGAAGCCTCTGGAGACCTGTGCGTATCAGTGAGATGAGTTTGGGGGACGGTAGTCTCATCCCAGTCCCTTGGGGACATGACAAAGCCACACTACTACTTGGCACATTCAGAGGCCCGCCCAGTCAGGAATCAGATATTGAGAAAGCAGTGTTGCATGTCAGGAGTAAGGGTCATATGAGATTGTCTGGACCAAACCTTGCCCCCCTAACTTAGCAAATCCAGTGTGGGTTCACTCCACAAAGAGAGGCAGGATTTGAGGACCCCTCTCTCAGAGGCTGCTGGCATCCTGCAGAGTGCTGTTCCACAGGTGTCCCCTACACCAGTGTCTGAAGTATGAAGGTTTCTGGCTAATTGAGCCATGATTACATAGATGCACTGGCCATTCTCCTACATGCAGAGGGAGAGGAACAGCTGCAGGGGTTACTGTCATCCATGCAGACAGGCTCCGATGCCCAGCCACAGCCAGGAACAACGTGAAAGGATTCCTCTCTTTCCTCCAACTCCCATGAGAGCCTTCCCGGGAACGCCTCAGCCCCCAACCCATTTGGCGTGGCAGTGCATTCGTTCTTGGTCTGCCCTTCAGTAGGAGGGCAGCATGCCTGGCTCCTGCAGACAGACACTTTAATCCCTAACTTTAACGGGCCACCACGTTTCCTCATGTGCACGCTGACAAAAGAGAGGCCAGCACCACATTACTGTCTGTATCTTTGTCAAGCCTGCAGGATGCCGAAATACCGTGGATTGGGCACCATGCCGCTCGTTAGCAGGACCAGGCACAGAGATGCTAACTGAAGAATTAGCTTCCCAAAGCGATGAAATCTTGGTTGATCATGCAGACTCGTCACCTTGAAGGACACGGCACAATGATCCAGGGCATCTTTTAGTATGTCCCTTTTCAGAACTGGGGGAAGAAGGGACTGGAGAAGTAGCTTTGGGACACGGATTTTCTCCCATAGTTGAACTGTTACCTCACATCCCAATGCGTGCAGGAGAGAGGATTATTAAAAACCCATAACTTCCATCCCAAGTGTTCCACAAATCCCTTTCGTTCACCTCCACTGAAACGCGGCATGTTCCCCACTTGCAACTGGGTCTTAACAGCTCTCCACAACAATGAGGACTTTATTCCCTGGGATCTCTGCTTTGTCATGAATCATTCCCCTGACATCTCTCTCATTAGTTCATAAGCAAAGTGGGGACTATATAAAGATGCTGCTACCTCCTAAATGAATTAACACACTCCCTTGTTGGGGTCGGTCCTGCCTTGAGCAGGGGGTTGCACTAGATGGCCTCCTGAGGTCTCTTCCAACCCTGATATTCTATGATTCTAGTGAAACAATACATCAGTCTGTCATGCAGTTAGAGGACTACCCAGGAAATTAAAACACAAAGAAACAATCATCTGAATCAGCCTCCCAATACTGGCCTTCAAGCTGCAGGGAAAATTAACTTGGGGATAAATTGCTGCAAAAACATTTCCTTTATGATGGTTCTCGCTGGCTTCAAATTTTGACTCTGAGTGTTAATTAAACATGCTTATTAAACTGAGCTGTTAAACACAGGCTACAACCAGAACTTTGGTAGTTAAGTGCTGAATAATCCACCCTGAGACAGCTCTGGAAAGCCTCAACCTAGCCCTAATGCAGTCCCTGCTAGGGTAGGCTCTGAACCAAAGCACGGCTCTTCAACACAGGCTTCACTCGAAGCAGTCAAGTGATCCCATGAGCACACACACTAAGTGCTGTGCTGAATCAGGGGATCCTACACAACTCTGCAAATGGACATCAACCCCAACAGGGCACCTCACGTTTCCCCCTTTCCAATGGCATGCAAAGCCAGCCAGTCCAGCCTCCCTAGAAACAAGCCAGACCAGAAGCAAACACTTGTAGTAAAAAAAAAAAAAAAAAAAATTTTAAGAGTGCAACACTGTCGTTTTAGCTCAGACACCTCTTTACTGGTAAAAACGAAGGCAACAAATGGGAAAAACTGAATTTCCACTAAGGACAAAGTGCAATTTTTCAGATGTTTGTCTCCAGGGGGATTTTATTTTTTCCTGCAAGGGAAATCCCTTCATATGCCATCTTAGATGCCAAAAGTTTCACCTTCAAAACAAAGTCTGCAAGACTTGCAAAAATGTAGTAACACTCCTATCAGAGACGGTCAGTTGCATTCAGCTGTGTCCTCCCTTTCCATACAATTCTATAGGACGTATCATGAAGGTTCAAAAACTAAGCTAGGTCATGCTACTCTTATGGAAGAGTTCTATGGGATGTAATGGAAAAGAGTAACGCTTTTATAGGCTTTCCAATCATCCCATAAGACCAGTGGTACCCAAACCTTTCCTGTCACTCCCCTCTCTTACCAGTAATAGAATCAGTCCATGTCCCCTTCTGGTCCTGCACAGTTGGCTCAGAGGAGTTTGAGCTGAAGGTGGAGCTGGGGGGAGAACTGGGGATGGGGAGGAACTGGGGCTAGAGGCGGAGCTGGACTGGGGGCGGAGAGGAGCTGCGGCTGAGGGCAGAGCTGGGTGGTGCTCCCCCCCACCCCCCTGTGGGGGCTGGCCCAGGGCCCGATGCATCCCCCCCAAACAAACATTCTTCAGTGCCCCCCGCCCAGGGGTGCATACCCCACAGTTTAGGGACCACTGCTATTGAATGTAACAGAGAATTCTGTTCCTGTGACAGAGAATTCAAATACCACCTACAGAAAAGGTTCTCATTATCTATTAACATTCTATATATTAAAGTAATTTCTGTGGAACCCAATTGGTTTAATTCCTATTAAACACAACAGGGACTTTTCCATAAGAGTAACTGGGTTAGTACATGTTGAAAGAAAAACAATTGTACACTAATTATTATTATATTGAATTGCTCAGTTGTGGATCTGTGCAGATAAACTGACGCCTGATCTTCATTTATTAAATCATTATATGCTTGGTTTGCATTCATGCCACTTGTTTTTAACGAAAAAATCTCTTTGCTGGAACTGCAAAAATACCAACGAACTACATAGGCTAGTCACACTGCTACGGCTACCTCTCGCGGCGGTGGAGTACAGGAGTCAATGGGAGAGAGCTCGGGGGACAATTTATCGTGATAAATCGACCCCCCCCCACTGGATCAACCGCTGCCCGCCGATCTGGGTAGTGTAGACATACCCTAAGACACAGCAGCATTAGGCCAGCTTGCAAGAGAATTGAATCAGAATTCCTCCTCCAGCAAACCATTACCATAGCTTGAGTAAAAGCAGGAGGCTACCCAAATAAGATCAGCTAGGATGAAAAATCAATAGGATGTATTGCACACTAGCAAAAATAGTACCAGCTGCTCTCAGCAAATTAATCACTCTCTCATTCTGGAAGATAGATTTGACTGCCGAAGGAGCGGTTCTGTGTATCACTAATTGGACACCCTGTGAACTGCCCTGTTGCTTGTTTCATGCACTTGCTGAAGTTTAAGGCTGAAATTGCCATAATTAGCTAACACTAACTGTGTCCGTCAGCTCTAGAATGAAGAAAAATGAATGCCTCGGGATGCTGTCAGCAGTGTGAAACAAAGACCTCAAGAGCTTGACTCCATTCTCAGGAAAGCCTCCTATCCCACCAGGTGCTTTATTTTGCTCAACAGCAAACAGTGATCCTACTAAAATCATCATCTCATTCCAGTTCCTACTGGTCAGGTGCCACATGACAAGAAGCCACCACTAGGGAGGACATAAATTAGATCCCTACTTGGCAATCTCAACAGATCGCCAGGAGCAAATGGGCGCTCCAACTCATTGGCAGGGAACTTGCACTGCATGGCGTGTAGCCGCACTGGTTTTGGGGGCAAACAGAGGACTTCTGTCTTCAGCACTGTTACAATCCAGCCTCTCTAGCTAGCCCTATTCCAGCTAGCCTTTATAGAGGGCAAGAGAGACCTAACGTCTAGATAGCACAAAGCCACGATAAGAACAACTCTGTACTAGATTACATAAATGAAGCAGCAGCATTCTGAAGTCTAAGGAGGTTATAAGATTATACAACATTCTATGGGGAAAAGAACGTTTAGAGGACACGGGGCTGGCTAGACATGTTAGAGTGGACAGCCCTAAAGAAGGAACTTTTCCCTGAAGAAGATGCCAATTTAAAAAAGGTAGTGGGGTAAGAGGGAGAATGCTTGGGAAACAACAGCCCTACACAGCCCCCCTCAGACACTGTCTGAGCAAAAGAGAGGGGCTTTTCCCCCCTCCATCCTTTCTTCAGCCTAATGAAAAATAACTTCTGGAGCTGACACATTAGTCTCAGGCCTGGTTATTGCCCATCCTCAGCAAAAATCTAGTAATCTGTAAGGTGTGTTCTCAATCCCCACTCCCCAAATATATTAACTATTTGATTAGGCATGCAGTCTCTCAAAATCACGTCATGGGATAAGATATGGGTAAATGAGATGTGTAGATCAGCAGAAAGAATTGCAATAATTGCTATGCCTGCAAACAAGAGTCCTGGGTACACACGACTTGACAGTCTTCTACACATTTCAATACAGGGTCAGGTGTGTATCCTAGATATGCAGCCTAGACAAGACATTTCCCAGACTTACTCACTCTCTCAGCAGTTTTTGACAGACCAAATGCTCAGTCATTACCAGGTAGGATCTTATAACTGCAACCAATTATCAATAAAAAGTTGCAGAGAAATAGAGCATGTTTCATCGTAAACGCCTTCAACTATCCAAAGTACTTGTTTTATATTTTCAAATCACAATAATAAAGGGCAATGCTCTGAGCTGCTGTAGCGCCAGGATCTCAAAGTGCTTTATAAAAGATTAGCGAAGTGAAGCTTTACAGCCTCCTGGGAAGAACAGAGGTCAGAGTTATTACTCCTCCCATTTGCAGGGGGGAAAACCGACACAAACTGATCTAAACCCAAGGTTACATAGGGCGTCTGGCACAGAGCTAAGAGTAGAACCCAAGTCTGACTCCCTATTTTGTGCCTTAAGCACAAGAGCATCTTTTCTACCCATAAGAAACTGTATATATAAAAAGAAAGACAAAGAAATCATATGGAGTCTCTCTGCAATAACTTCTTAAATGAGGACCACGCTACTGGTTCCTGTGTTAGACTTCAATTTCATGGTAGAGTAACAACTGTGCTCCAAAATCTCTCACAGCAGCACAACCAGCCGTGAGTAATGTAGCTGTGTGCCTCTTGTCAAGGTGACCCCTCAGTCTATGCTTTGCCTGCTCTGTGTAAGTACTGTTGCTCACAGGCTTGACTTCTTCATAAGCAACGCTTATAGAACCTAACAGGCAATACAATGTAGTGAATATCTGTGCAATCTGTTTTTTGAGCACAGCAGCAGATTGCATGGGAGTTACTGCTCACACCACTTTTGAGTTTGACGGTAAGAAGGAAGAGACATTGTGTTAAAACAGAACGAGAGGAAAGTCAGATGCTCTCCCTCACCCAGACAACCTGGGTTCAGTGCAGGAATTACTCTGGTATGCAGGAGGTTGGATTAGATGATCACAATGGTCCCTTCTTGTCCAACATCTCTAAGTCTCAGATAAGATCAGGCTTATGTCCAATCGCAAGGAAGCCAAGCTGATGGACCCGATTCTCCGATCTCACACTCAGGTGAAGTGGGTGTAAAGCACAACACATCCCGAATGGAGTGTTTTACCTGCTGTGCTCACTTTGCTCTAGTGTAGGAGAGGACACAAGGGACAGGGCAACAGAGATTTCAGTCCCCAGAGCAGGAGAGACCTGAATCCATTATATAGGGACCATCCTTCATCAAAGACAAAGAGGTGACTCCAGGTATTGGAAACTACCCCATTCATTCAGGTAGAACAGACAGTACCAATTTATACTTGGCCGTTCTGCATTAGTTCAACACAGCCACAGAAGCGGATACTATGTTGTTGCTTTTTAAAACATGACTCAAGACCCTTCCCGTACAATCTATTACCAAACAACATTTCCAGGGCCTGACTAGCGCTCCTTGTTTGCTTTTGGAGTTGATGGGACCACCGTGGATAAAGGGGCCACTATACTGAGCCAGGGATTCAGAATCAGCCCTAAAGCAACATGTACCATCTTGTCACCATTGAAGACTTGTTCAGTGAGAGCCCATCAGCACCGGGCATGCTGAGAGTGCGCTTCTTGGGGCCACATTATTTACCACTCCCATTGTAAATTTCGACACATGCTCAGAACATTGGTTTTATTAACACTCTAACATTTGTTGTTTGTTTGGGGGGGGGGAGGTTAACACTTTGTCTGGGATTGTCCTAGGGGAGTTAAGTGCCAAATCTCATTGCATTTCAAAAGGACCTGGGGAGAGACTTTCAAAGGCATATATGACAGACAGGCATCCAATCCCCATTGACTTGCAGTGACAGGAGCCTCATCCCCCTCTGGGTGTCTAACTCCCTTAGGCTCCTTTGAAAATCCCAGCCCACATCAATAACATTAACAGAGAAGCACCCTGTATGCAAGGTGACACCATACAGTACTCATACCAGTGTCAAATTCGAACTAGCATTTAGCCTCCATTGGGCATTTGCCAGAGCAGCAACAAAAAACAACTTACCGTCTATTCCCAGAGCCCCCTGCTTCTTGTTCTCTAAACACGGTTCAAACTGATTGATAATTTCCAGGCAGTACTCCTTGGTCACATTAGTCATCTAGAAAGGAAACAAAACATGAAGTGAAGAACATCTCATTAACTAAATAATCAGCCACTGCTCCCCTAGTTCTCTTCTCTGTATATAGTTTGAGAACTGGCTGTATTTTCCACACGAGCACTAGGATTTTTACACTGTTCACTAAAATTCCCACTCCTGCCACTCAGTGTCAGGTCAGATAAGAATCAGGCAGCTTAGTGAAAAGTTAGTCCCATTGGCAGCTGCCTGATCACACACAATAAAACACAGAGCCCGATTTCTGCTTTGTAGGTCAATTTTGTTTAGTGTTTTTAAGCCCACAGGGCAACCAAACAGCACATGTTTTGCTATGGCCCAATAGGGTCTTTTGGCTGCAGGATTAATTGGTATTGTCCAAAAGGTTTTCACTTTAGAGGCATGCAACAAAACAGAACTCCAGGAGCCAGTGGAGAGAAGGATGAATTATAATAATTGGCCACGTATCAGAAGGTCGGGAGATTATTGGAAGCATTTCTAGGGCGTCCGTTACTTTGATCAATGGTAGGATTTCATTCTGGTCTTCAAGATGTGTGCACAGAGAAAATTCTGCATGTTCTGAGACATTGGCAATTGAAAGTCAGGCCATTTATGGTTAACTCCGTTTATGTTAAAAAAAGGAATGATACAGCCCTGCATTATGTAAACAGAGCTGGGTGACCAATTATTTACTACACCTGTTGTCAGTAGTGCTACAAATCAGGATCAAGGCTTCACTGTGCGAGGTGCTGCGTGCACACACACATGACCATATGGTGCCTGTCCCAAACAGCGGCTCCGATGAAAAAGCCAAGCAGAATCTTTCAAAAATACACACGTAAAACCAAAGTAAAGCATAAACCACAGGGACAAGGCGTTAACATCTCATGGAAGATGTCGGGAGCTGGGCGTGTTCCATCTAGCTATAGAAGCGCTATAACATAACAGCAGCAGTGCAAGCTTCTCTGGAAGTGCACAAACAGAACTGTATCCTGCCCAGGAGGAACTACTTGCAAGGGGACTTCAGAGTGCACCGACCATTCCGTCTTTGCCCTCTCTAGTGAGTCTGCCGACAAAGGGACTAATTATGGTGCAGGTTGGCCAACGTGGACCCATGCCCAAAGGGTCAGCACTTTTGACACTGGACTGGAGCCTTCTCATGGGGAGGTTCAAAACACAACAGATTCAGGAGCATGAAAAATGCACTCTCCCTCCACTGGATGTCCTGGCTGGGCTGGGCTGGGCTGAGACACAAAAGCCCAGAAGTCTCCCTACCAAAACACAGTTCTTGCAGTATTTACATTTTGGCCATGACCAGCAAGGCAGGATCTCATAAGAAGATCTCTCAGGTTTTCATAAGATTTCTAGTCCCAATCCCACAGCAAAGCCTTTTCCTGCTCCTAGCTCAGCAGGGCTGCTGCATGCTTTTGTTCTGTTTTTGACAAAGCTCAAACCTACCCTCGCTCTATACATATTGCATTACAGAGGGCAGCAGCGTCCGCGAGAGGAAAGCCGGAGAGCTTTTTGCTCTCAGTGCCAGTGATTAGCTGAACTGACGGAGTCCTGTGGCTGAAGTTAATTTTCTTCTCTCAGCAGGAGGAGGATCAATAGGCCCAGTGAAAGAGAAACACAGCCTAACTCGTTTAAAGAGACAACAGGCACAAAGGGATGGGTCTTCATTTATTTAATTTGCAGGTGACTCATGAGACTCTATTAGAGCATGAAAAGCAGAAGCACATGGACAAAGACAGCCTAGCCTAGGCGTTCTCATGCGGTATTTTTTTCTTTCTCACCCCATCTACTTCTACAAGTCTGGTGAGAAAAAAAAAAGTCCTGGCTGAGCTACTATTTTGCTGCCTCCCACGCCACCCAAGACCAGAAATGCCCCAGCCTTGTCCTGACAGAGGATCCTCTAGGGCAGAAGTACAGGAGAGCAGGGGTTTTATATCTGGTGGGGTGGGATGGGACTAATGGGCAGTGGAAATGCTCCCTTTCTACTGAGGATGTCAAAACAGCTTCACTAAATTCTCAGTCTTCATGAAATATTTAAAAGATTTCACTGGAATCCCTCTCTCTTTTATGAAAAGAAATACTCGGCACTGCAGGGCTCTCTGGTTGGATTTTACCTTAGATTCATGGCTCGTCTTCCTCTGGGGCCATACTGACCCAAGAGCTTCTGGCATCCGCCTTCCCTCTCCCCTTCCATTTAAGCATTGCAATATGGTCTTTTATTACATGTTCCTTCGGTCGCATTTGTAGTGGGCTGGTTTCCCTGTCTCCACTGCTAGTAGCACTCTAGCTTACTAAATCTCTCCTCCATTACCAGCAGACTTAAAATAACCACCAGCCTCTTCATTGCAATAGGCTTGAACTTTCCCAGAACAGACCAGCCAACAACCTTACAGTCTGAAGGTTTTAGACAGCCATGCATTAGAAACCACTCAGAACCTGATAAGAGGAACAAGTGGTAAGGTACAGGTACAGTAAAGCACATTCCACTAAGCAACAGATGAATGGGTCACAAAATCTGGTTAACTGGCACTTCTGGCAAGGGTCTACCAGCTATTTGCAGCAGTCATCGGCACATACCAGTGTTTGCTGGCATAGATACCCTACTAGGTGGTACCCTTTGTTCAGTGCCTGTGGCTGCTGAGAGAGAGGTGATATTACCTTTCAGATAACATTTGTATTTTTCCATCATTCAGGGCTTTAAAATGATCAACCCACTGAAGCCACCAATAACCAAGACGATCACTTAGCTGGCAGTTGGCTGTTCCCGCCAAGGTAAGTATAGTTGAGATTTGATGCAGAAGATGGAATAGATCAGTGCATTTGTATACACATATGTATGTATGTGTGCAGAGAGGAAGCTACTTAGCTTTAGCCATGAGAAAATAAAAGCACGGTACACCTCTATCTGTTTCCTTTTCACAAAAGCCTACAGGAGCTGTCAGGAAAGGGACCCAGCATCTTATATCCATCAATCACTGCTGCAGATTAAAGTGACTAATATGCATAAAGAATGCAAACCTTCCTGTTTAGCCCTCGCCTACAAGGAGCAAATCATTAATTCCACTATACGTAGCAGCTACTGCAACAGGGTGCATGGAGATTAGTTTGCTGCTATTTAACTGACAGCCCATCGATAACTATGGCAAGGGCATCTAGGTAAAATTCAATATTTGACTAGTAAAGCTTATAAACCCAGGAGTTAACGTCTCTGAAGACCTATGAAATGTCTGATTTTATGAACAGCGTTAGGTGTAATGCCTGCCATTAGGTACTGGCCAAGAATAAAACTCTTCTAATAGAGAACCTCCTGTTCTGTTGGACCATAAACTCTTCATCTCTTTCAAATCAGATGAACTGACAGAACAGTGTGTGGTTTGTAATACCCACTAGAGTGGCAAGAGAAGGACCAAGTAGTTAGTACTTTCCTCTCCAAAGCGCTGTCCAAGCCAGCAGTGAATCCTCTCAATAACCCTGGGAAACATGGCCACCCTCCAGTGGGCAAATCACTTCATTACTCTACCCCCAAGGCCATGCAGCAAGAGAGACAGAGGATCAGGTTGCCTCATACTGGGAAGGTGTTAACTGGAGAGGTGTTAACAGTTGAATGGTCCCTTGAAACATGTATTAACTACTTACGCTAAACAATCTGTTCTATCTTGTATTTAGCTGTGATACTCAGGGCATCTTTCCCAGACCTGAAGAAGAGCTCTGTGGAGCTTGAAAGCTTGTCTCTCTCACCAACAGATGTTGGCCCAATAAAAGATATTACCTCATCCCTCCACCCCATCCCCGTCTCTCATACTGGAGAGAGTCAAATGTCTCCATCTAGCCAGACGTCTACAGAATTTTTTAAAAGGAAAAGTAAGGGGAAGGAGGGAAGCTATAGCAGAATGATCTGCATTAGGGAGCTAGGAAGGGAATACGGAGATTCCAGGAAACATCCACACCAGGCCTGAAGTGGTATCAGCAGTCATATTAAAATTTCAGTGGCTTTTGTCTAAGTCATCCAATTGTCTGAGTGCCCCACATGCCCTGGGACTGTAGTGGCGAGATGTAGGTAGCTACTCAACTTTCCAATTGCATCTCAGAAATGCTCTTTACTTTAAACAAATTAAAAATTCATCCCACCCAGAGAATTGAAACATGGCAGATTGAGAACCCAGGGGGCTGGTCAGAAACCTCACAGGAATGCTTAGTGATAAAGCTAGC